GAAGAAACACACACACTCAACACACACACACACACACACACACACACACACACACACACACACACACACAAAACACACACAAACATAACCAAACACACACACACACAGAAGTGCAGAGGAGGAAGTGACACTGGACACAGAGTACAAGCGAGAGCACAGAAATGGATTAGACAGTATTTTTGCTACCTTTACAAAAGTATATTTGAAGTTTATTTTATTAAGTAAACTAAGTTCAATTATATTTCACAAGTACACATTATGTTGTAAATATACTCATATCAGTGTTCTAGTAGTATACCTGTAAGTCTACTATTTCAATACTTTTGGGGACTAAGTTGGCACACAAATACAAGTATAGGCCTGACATACTTAAACTTGTCTGCATACTTGTCAGAATAATCCAAGTATACTTACATATAGTTTTGTCTAATATATCTTTGAAGTGCATAAAAAGTAAACTGAGAGCACACTCACTTATATTTGGTTTAAATATAAAGTATACTATATTGGTATTCTTAAAGTATACTAATAGCACACTTGAATAATTTTACTTTTTGTAATGGTTTCCATTTGTGTTTTCTAATATTTATCTACACTTTTTCTTTTTTACATCCTTTACCTTTTAATTTCTGTCTGCACTTTAACTCCCATCTGTGAACTAGACATAATAAATAAACCTTATTCATACAGGCTGCTTCACCTACTTTGTTGCTGCTGTGTTACAGTGCCACACATTCTTTAACACTGTTTCCGTAATTCCTTAAATCTATCCATTTGTAGAATGCAGGACATTTAAGCAGTTTAATTCTGTGCATGTGGGTAAAATTCTGTGCTTGTGGGAATAAGTATGTTATTACTGCTTATTAATATAAACATAATTATAATATTAATATTTAAAAAAAAATGAAAGTGTGTTCTTGTTCCATTTTATATTTTTCTGTCAGTGTAAGATTAGAAAAATAACAGATAAAAATATTTTCAGAACCACTTTAGAGCCATCAAAAATACTTTCTCATATTTTTTTCCAGAACTGTAATAAAAAATACATATATTGGCTAAAACGTAGCATGTTACATCAGCTTTGACCAACATGGGACAGTGTTTTTTTTCCTTACTCTTTGTAGTTCTCTTGCTAGCACCTAAATATAAATGTCCTGCAAAGACTGTGAAGCATCTTGCCAACGTGAACTACAGAGTCACTATGGATCATGATCCTGTATCTATATTTTCTAACAATGTCCATGCTGTTAACCTGACAATTTTTTACAGCCACTCTTTTATCTGAGGTGGGGAGCAGGGGTGGGTATATAACTACTGCCAGTAGTTAGGCTGTCTCTATGTATGCAAGAGCTTTTCTAGGTACAATGTATACTCCAGTCACAAGAGGGCCACTGGGAGTCATAGCTATAGTCAGTCAGTTCCATAAAAGGAGTGATTCAGTGAGAGTCAGAGCAGCAAACTATAACAATTGTTTTGCTGCTTTCTTGTTTTAATGTCCTTAAACTGAGAAAATAAAAGCTTTTATGCTCACTGTGAGTATGAATAAAATTATATGTTTCATCTACACTGATCGACTACATCAAGCACCTAAGGACAGTTCGCTCTAAAAGGACTTGTTGGGACTTGTTGCCCCTGGAATTCTCTGGTGGAGCCAAAACACTGGACCCAGAGCACCAAAGAGGTGAGAGCCAATGATTATATATTTTACAGAGACTGCTGTCAACTTGCAGTTGTGCACTGATGAATGACAGTTAACGAATGCATGTAATGATCTGGGGCTCAACCCAGTTCACTGCAGGGTCTCTCTCTGTCTCTCTCTCTCTTTCACTCTCTCTCTTTCTTTCATAATGTTACAGTCTAAAGCTGCATTTGGAACAGCTCTGGAGTTTGAGGAGTGGGGGAATGTGACCCGGAATGAAACCATGGATGACGAGAATGGTGTGCAAACAAACTGGGGTAAAACTTGTGATATGTTAATGTTGTAAGGTCCCAGATTTTCAGTAGACGTTCTCCCAATATTACACCAAGACAGTCCAAGCGTGAACATGTATCTTTTAATAGAAAATTAGAAACAAAGTATTTATATCAATGTCGGACAACACACTTACAAATTATCTTGCATACTTGTAGCGCACTAAGATGGTTCTATTATGTGAGAGCAGGACAAATAAAATCAATAATTAAATAAAGTCAGCCGTATGTTACCTTTTCTCACAAACTGGTTCAAGTTTGCTTATAATATTCATTCAGTAAAGTGGCACTACAGTCAGTTACATTTGTTTAACTCATGCCTTTATCTTTATTACCATGCATCTGTGGCACAGCAGCTTATTCACAGAAATGTTTTTACATGAAAAAAAGTTAAAACAGCTCACTAATCCTGTATAATTTGCTATTTTGTAAGTGAATTTAACATTTCATCTCCCCAGAATTCCAGTTTCTTGTCAGTTTGGTTACTATTTTCTTGTCATGCTTTCAATCACTGGTGCCAAATCCTGGAGAGCCACAGCACTGAAGAGCTAGACTGTCTAACTGTTCTAAGATAAACTCGTTAATGACTGCTGATGATGCTAAAACAAGAATCTGTATAAAACTGTATAATTTATCCTGAAGTACACAGGGCTAGAGGTACCTCAGTTTCAGGATCAGAAAACACTGTACTGAGGGTGTGATTTGTAATTTGTGTTTGTGTTTCTAAGATGGTGTTATCGTCTGTGCTATCAGCATCCAAAAGGAGAAGCAAAGAGCAACCAATCAGTGAGTCAATAAATAAGTGACTGTGCAAGCCCCAATGACTGTGTGCAAATATGTTTCCTCTTCTCAAAGCAACTGCTGGAAACATGTCTCCAGAGCCATTGGCCAGTCTTGTATTTCTCAGTGAGCAGTGAACTTCCAGAAGTTCATCAGAAAGGTGGCTGGAATGTCTTGTCCTCATTCAATACTGGGTTCACTTATGTTTGCAGCTTGCTGTCTAATGTGGCACGATTTAGTGGTTTGTGCTTGAACATGGAAATTGTGATGTCACCTTTATTTTATTTGGTCGTCTCAGTTCTGTTTAGAGTGCTTGTTGCCAACAACATTATGTTTTAGTAGTTGCATTAGTCAGTTATTAATCTCAGCAAAAAAATTGAATGTAGCCTTGGATTGATTAATATTCAAAGACACAGTCATGTTGGGAGGGATCTTTTATTTAGATATTTCACCTTTTTTCACCTTTTTGAGTTTGTCTCTCATGCTTCACATTCGTATAATTGGATCTTATAATTAAGAAATCTTATTTTAAGCACTGAATATTGAATAATTCTTCAAATGAACTAAACCATCTTTTTTATGTAAAAAGATGTGCTGGTGAAGTACTGAATATCAAAAATGAAATCTCACCTGAGTATCTCCAGTTTACAGTGTGGACTCTTCAGTACAGCAGAGAGAAGCTCTGTTGCTGAATCCTGAAGGTCATTGTGGCTGAGGTCCAGGTCTTTCAGAGAGGAGCTTGCAATGTTACACCAAGATATTCTGTAAAGAGTGAACATATGTCTTGTAAAAAGTAATAAGAAAAAAAGGCTTTATTTCATTAATTTATACAACACAGTTACAATTGTCTTGCATATTTGTAGCTTACTAAGATGGTTCCATTAACTGATAGTAGGGTAAATAAAGTCAATAAATAAAGTCAGAAATTTGTTTCCTTTTTCTCACAAAGTAGTTCAAGTTTGATTACAATATTCATTTAGCAAAATGGCACTAAAATCAGCTATAGTTGTTTAACTCATGCTTTCTTTAAAAAAAAATGCTGACGAGCCTACTTTTGCTGGATCACCTTCAGCAGCATTTTGTGCACAGTGCTGAACCTGCCTGCAGTGTCTGGTGGATGCCCAAATTTTACCAGCCAGAAATGTTCTATCATAATACATATTGATATGTATAGTAATAATGAAAACATAGGAGATATTTAGTAAATATCTCAAGTAAATCAATTACCTTCAACTTAAACAGTTAAATTATAAAAGACTGTGAAATCAGTTATGTTCTAGCCTCTAAGAATAAGTTATCCTCTGTGCTGTTAGCATCCAAAAACAAGAAGCAAATGTGACCAAAAAATTTGGCTTCTTGTGGATTTGTTCAAAAATTATTTATATGCTGTATCTACTGCTGTGAATAAATCATTGAGGACAGATTTAGCTAGGTCAGTACTGAGCACTGAATTCACACTAACAGATTTAAGCACTATTATTAGCACAATATGACTCATACACCCTTTTTAGCTTGCTGGCTAATGTGGCATGATTTAGTGGTTTGTGTTTGAACAGGGAAATTGCGAGGTAATCTCTATGTTATTTGGTCAGTTCTGTTTAGAGTTACAGTCACCAACGACGTTGTGCTTTAATAGTTGTGTTGGTCAGTTATTAATCTCAGCACAAGTTTTCTGACTGTAGCCAGGTTTGATCAATATTTAAACACACAGTCATGTAGGGAGGGACCTTTTATTTAGCTCTGTGTATTTAACCTTTTTCAATTTTTCCCTCATGCTTCACTTTCATAGACTTGGATCTTGTATTATATAAGTTTTATTTTATAAAATATGGAATATTGTATGATTCTTTAAATTCACTAAAACATCCTTTTGTTGTAAAAAGATGTGCTGGTGAAGCACTGAATATCAAGAATGAAATCTCACCTGAGTATCTCCAGTTTACAGTGTGGACTTTTCAGTACAGCAGAGAGCAGCTCTGTCCCTGAATCCTGAAGGTCACTGTTCCTGAGGTCCAGCTCTTTCAGGGAGGAGTTAACTGGATGTGAAGCTGATCCCAGATTTTCACAAGGCTTTCTCCTAATATTACACCAAGATAGTCTGCAAAGAGTGAATACATATATGAAAGAAAATTACACATTAGACATGATCTTGCATATTTGTAAATCACTAAATTGTTCCACGAAGTGGAATAATTTGCTACTTTGTTCACTTAATATGTAAACTCTGCTGAATTCCAATTTCTTGTCAGTTTGCTTAATATTTTCTTGTCATGCTTTCAGCCACTGGTGCCAAATACTGGAGAGCCACAGCACTGGAGAGCTAGACTGTGTACCCGCTCTAAGGTGAACTCATTGATGACTGCTGATGATGTTAAAGCAGTGAACTGTATAAACTGTATAAAACACTAGCTGTGCAGGGCTGTGGCCAAAAAAATGTAGTGGCTCCCATTCCTGATCCTGCAGTACCCAGGGGCAGAGCTACTCCAGTTTCAGGATCAGAAATCCCATCACCGAGGGTGCGGTTTACAGTAGAGTGAATGGTTTATTTTTGCTTTCTATGACTTTCCAATAGACTTGCAGACACTTCGTAAAAAGTAAAAAAAAGACTGGCAAGCCTACTTTTGCTGAATCAACATCAGCAGTCTGGCATTATGTGCAGAGTGCTCGACCTGCTGCAGTGTCTGGTGGATACCCAAATTTTACCAGCCTGAAATGTTTTCTCATAATACCTTTTGATATTTATAGTAAGAATTAAAAGATACAGGATATTTAGTAAAATAAATCAACATGAGACTCTAACAGACTCTAAGATCAGTTTTACATGAACACACACTCAATCATGGGTAAAGTCAAACACATTATAATTTTTTCTTAAGAGTGTAAAAATAAGAGCAATAACCACTCACTCTCTAGCTGTAGCATTAATGCTAATAACACTAGCAACAATAGCAATATCATTTCTAAGCTAGTTTATGTTCCATTGGAAATCTCTTTACAGCTCTTTTTTGTATTTGAAATTTGATTTGTAAAAGTGAATGAATTTTAGACATAAGTGTGGATGTTACTCTGATGAGCTGCAAAATTCACTTTTCTCTGCTCAGACTAACAAGGCTTAATACTATATATCTCCAGAATCACTGCCAATTCTCTACTTTCTCTTTAAGTTGTCGGCGCCCAGAGTTCATCAGAAAGTTGGTTGGAATGGCTTTTTCTCTCTCAATGCTGGATTCACTTTGGTTTGCAGCTATCTGGCTAAAGTGCCATGATTTATTCATATGTGTTTGAATGGGGAAATCAGGATGAAACCTCTGTGTTATTTGCTGAAATCTGTTTAGAGTGACAGTGAGCAACAACATGGGCCTAGATCAACACAACTGGTCAGGGTAAGGAATGAGCAATAATTATCAAGAACTCTTTTTAAATGCTTCCTGAAAAATGTAAAATGAAAAAAAAATATATTACAAATGTCATATGCATTGAAGGAGTGCCTGGCTAAGTACTAGCACTCTGTAAAATGTATCTCTAGTATTACGTCTATAAACTCTAAACTAAACTCTAAAGCCTAAAGTTTAGAACAATAAATACTATATTTAACTCTGCTATGATGGTTGATCCTGATGCAGCCACAGAATTATGTGAAAATGTTGTAAATTAATTTATAACAACATTGACAGTATAAAATTACATCTCTCCCCATGATTATGACCTTCCAGAGTTCATCACAAGTTTAATTTTTAATAAGATTAAGCCTGTAAGTTTTCCTTTCTTTTAGGCCTGTATCTTTTTCCATTCTTCTACACACTAACAGGTTCCTCAACATTCTTCCTTTAAAGCAGTCTTTGAAACTGTCAGTCCTAGTCTCTCTTATTCACCATAAATAGCTCTTTAGTCAATGGTACTGCTCCATCTTGTTTTAACCCTGCAGTAGTCCAGCCTGATCAGAATGCTAATTCTTGACCCACCAGTTCTCATTTATAGCAATAATATTCTGAAGATTTCAGTCATGCTCTGTTTATGTCCAGTTTGTTATCCTATAATGAGGTTTATGTGTAAAAAAACGTAACACAGCTTTTGATTCTATTTGAGGAATGACATCTACTACATTTTCCTTTCTCTCGTTTCATTTCTATCCTCTTGTGTCTGATGGATGGACTGAGGAGCTGGGAGACCCCAACCTAAAACTCAAACTCAGAAGATACAACTGAAAGGAAATCCAAACATAGAGCTACAGAAATGGAGCTACACTGATTGACCACATCAACTACATCACTTAAGGACAGTTCACTCTAAAAGGATGTGTTGGGATTGTTGATGTCCATCCCTCAATTATTTGCAGAAGAGTTGGCTGGGCATGAAAAGATCCATGGCTCAGCGCAGTTCACTGAAAGATTGTTTTGGTGTATCTTTACCTTTTTTTATTATTATTATTTTTAAAGTGTTTAATTTTTACTTTTTGCACAGTGTGAGAATCTACACATCAACAAAACTTGAAAGGAACCTAGAAATGACAATTTTCATCTCTTGTAAATAAAATCATGAAAAAATCTGTTAGGCTTGTTTTCTATTTAGTGTTTTTTATGTAGTATGTTTTCTTTTTTTACAGACAGTTCATGGACTTTCATTTTCTCTCTAGCACTTTCACCCTTTATCTCTCACTGTTTATCTCTCTCTCTCTCTCTCTCTCTCTCTTTACGTTACAGTCTATAGCTGCATGTGGAATTGCTCTGGAGTTTGAGGAGTGAATGTGCTCCTGAATGAAACCATGGATGAGGAGAATGGTGTGTGAATGGGTCTACAGCTCTAGAAACCCATTCAGGAATTAATTTACAGAAAGCTCACCTGAGTATCTCCAGTTTACAGTCTGAACTCTTCAATATAGCAGAGAGCAGCTTCCCTCCTGGGTCCTGCAGGTCAGTGTGACTGAGGTCCAGTTGTTTTAGGGATGAGTTTGTTGATTTCAGAGCAGAACAGAGAGCTTCATACGAGTTCATGGTGAGTTTACAGTGACCTAGTCTACAAGGCAAATGAATACAGTACATATTATGGTTAAAACAGAGAATGAGAAATTCAGGATCACAGAATCTGGAATATAAGAAAATTAGAAAACAGTACCTCATATACTAGGATGCTTCCATTACATAGGTTATTCAGAACAGCATAAAAAACGGTCTCAATTTGAATGTTTTCTAATCTTCTAATAATCTTATAATTTTATTTGAATATTTTCATTACTATTTGTACTCCTTTTTCCCTCAACGACTTTTGCTCTGAAACTAAACTTCATTTGCTTTTCTTTTCACTTCAGTAGGCAGGCATGGGGCAAGGGGTACATTACAGCCAGTCAGAGAAGAACAAACACACACACACACACACACTCACACACACATATACAAATACACACACAGAGGTGCAGAAGAGTGAGTGAAGCTGGACACAGAGTACAAGTCAGAACACAGAAATAGATTTACAAAAAAAATACTTAAATTCTCTATAAAATTAATTCATTTATATTTTTCTGTCCGTACAACATTCAAAAAACAGCCAAAAATATTTTTAGATCCACTTGCACAGTTTCAGCCATCAAAAATTCTTCCTCATATGTTTTTCCAGAACTGTCATAAAAAATACACATATTGGCAAACACTTAGCATGTTACATCAGCTTTGACCAACATGGGACAGTTGTTTTCTTTATAGTTTTAGTTGTATTACTAGCACCTAAATAGAAATGTCCTTTCTATTTGTGAAGCAATTCTGCCAACAGAGTCACATCGTCCGTGTTGTTAACCTGTCAAAGTTTAATAGAGCCACTCTTTTGTCTGATGAAGGGAGCGGGGGTGGGTTTGTAACTACTGCCAGTGGTTAGGATGTCTTTATGTATGCAAAAGCTTTTCCAGGTACAATGTTTACTCCAAGAGGGTCACTGGGAGTCATAGCACTAATCACCTCCATAAAAAGAGTTGTAGATGGACTTCTATTACTACTTTTTCTTTTCCTTCACTTCATTTTTACACTCTTTTTTATTATGAATGGACTGAGGAGTTGGGAGTCCCTGTCTTAAAGCTGAAACTCAAAAAGATCCAACTGAAAGAAAATCTGAACATGGAGCTACAGGACTGGAGCTACACTGATCGACTACATCTAGTACTTTGGGACAGTTCCCTCTAAAATGACTTGTTGGGACTTGCTGCTCCTTGAATTCTCTGGTGGAATAAAAACACTGGACTCAGAGCACCAAACCAGTGAGAGCCACCCATTATATCTTTTACAGAAACTTGCACTAACTAACCGTTGTGTTTGACGAATGACAGTTAATGAATGAACATGGCTGTTGTGAATTGTTGGAGGAACATTTGTACATATTTTGATGTAAATATGTACTTTTAGTTAATGGTGTTAAATGTGCAGAGACAAAGCTGTTAGTTAGAGTCCATCCCTCAGTAATTTGGAGGGCTGTTGGCTTGTTGGCTGGGCATGTAATGATCTGGGGCTCAACCCAGTTAATTGTAGGATTGTTTCTGGGGTTTTCTTACCTAAAGTTTTTTTTTATTATTATTTCTAAAATGTACAATTTTAGTTTTTTGTATAATGTAAGGATCTACACCTCAACAAAACCTGCATGGATTTAGAACTGACCATTGCTGTGTCTTGCAAACAAAATCATTAAAAAACAAGAGAAGAGTGAAAACACTGCTTGTAACAGAAAGAATGTGTCACTAACAGTGTTCTTTCCCCAATAATGCCATTTATAAAGTCCTCTAAAGCTTTAGTCTCTCTCCACATCAACCATGTCTTCTAACAGAGAAACTTTTTTGTCTATAGATTCTATATATTTTACTGACACTGTAAAATGCTATATATTCAGCCATTAAAATTGTACTGAAAAACCAAACTAGGAACCATATTTTAAATATGGAAATCATGCTAAAACAAAACATTCCACCTAGGTCATTTTCTGAATGTCTTGATTAAAGTTTTACAAGTCTACCCGACTCAAGCCCAACAAAATATCAGGTTGTGGCCAGGGAGGGCAATTTTTTACGCAAAAAATTAGGCTTTTTGTTACAGACATTTCAGGCATTCACACACCTTCTTTCTTGCAATCTCACTCTCTAGCGTATGCTCTCTTTATCTCTCTCTCTCTCTCTCTCTTTCATAATGTTACTGTCTGCATTTGGAATAGCTCTGGAGTTTGAGGTGAATGTGGCCCTGAATGAAACCATGGATGATGAGAATGATGTAAGAATGATCTGGGGTGAAACTTGTGATATGTTAAAGTTATAAGGTTTAGAGCTGGTTAGATAATATTATGCTATAGCATTTTGAGTATTCTGTAGTATTTTGATTGCACAGGCCACTCTGCTTTAACAGCTTAACTTTTTCCATTCAGGAATGAATTTACAGAAAACTCACCTGAGTATCTCCAGTTTACAGTTTGAACTCTTCAATCCAGCAGAGAGCGGCTCTGTTCCTGAGTCCTGCACTTCAGTTTTACTGAGTTCCAGTTCTTTCAGGGATGAGTTTGTTGATTTCAGAGCAGAACAGAGAGCTTCACAGGAGTTTATGGTGAGTTTACAGTGACCTAATCTACAAGGCAAATAAATACAGTACATATTACGGTTAAAACAGAGAATGTGGAATTCAGCCTCACAGGAATCAGGAATAATGAGCACAGAAAATAACACTTTCATATATTAGGGATGTTTCTATTTACATACGTTTTTCAGAAGAGAATAAATGATGGTCTCATTTAGAATATTTGTTTTGTTATGACTAATTTCAATACTATTTGGACTTTCGCTCTAAAACTAAACATTCTTTGCTCTTCCTTCCACTTCAGTAGGCACATATGGGGCAAAGGGTACATTACAGCCAGCAAGAGAAGAAGAAACAAACACACACACACACACACACACACACACACACACAGAGAAGTGCAGAGGAGTGAGTGACACTGGAAACAAAGTAGAAACGAGAGCACCTGAATAGATTAGATAGTATTTTTGTTTTCCATTAGTGTTTTCTAATTGTTGTCTACTCTTTGTTTTATTTTTTTTCACATATCCTTCTCCTTTTCATTTCTTTCATTTCTTCTGTCTGCACTTTAACTCCCATCTGTGAACTAGACTTAATAATTAAAACTTATACATGCATCCTGCCTGCTTCACATGCTTTTTCTGCTACTGGCATACTGTGTTGCAGTGGCACAAACTCTACACTAACACTGTTCCTCTAATTTACTTAATTTTCTTTAACACTGTTTCTATAATTCCTTACATCTATGCATTTGTAGAATACAGGACATTAAAGCAGTTTAATTCTGTGCATGTGAGTAAAATTCTGTGCTTGTGGGAATAAACATATTATTACTGCTATTATTAATATTACATTTATTATAATACTATCATTTAAAAAAATGTGTGTCTTTGAGTCAGTGTTCCACGTTATATTTTTCTGTCCATATAACATTCAAAAAACAGCCAAAAATATTTTTAGAACAACTTGCACAGTTTCAGCCATCAAATATTCTCTGCATATTTTTTTTTCCCCAGAACTGTAATAAAAAATACATATATTGGCTAACACTTAGCATGTTACATCAGATTTGTCCAGCATGAGACAGTTGTTTTTTTTTCTTTACTCTTTTTAGTTCTCTAACTAGCACCTAAATAGAAATGTCCTGCAAAGATTGTGAAGCGTCTTGCCAATGTGAACTACAGAGTCGCTATAGATAATGATCCTATGTATCTAGATTTTCTAACAAGGTCCATGTTCTTAACCTGATAAAGTTTTGTACAGCCACCCTTTGGTCTGATGTAGGGAGTGGGGATGGGTTTGAAACTACTGCCTGTGCTTAGGCTGTCTCTATGTATGCAAATGATTTTCTAGGTGCAATGTTCACCTCAACACAAGAGGGCCAGTGGGAGTCATAGCACTAATCAGATCCATAAAAGGCGTGATTCAGTGCTAGTCCGAGTGGCAAACTATAAAGAGTGTGTTACTACTTTCTTGATTTAAAGACGTTAAATTGAGAAAACAAAGGTTTTTATGCTCACTGTAAGTATGGATGATATTATATGTTTTATTTATGTTGAGTCTGAAGTATTTTGTTATGGTATAATGAAGAGTATGTGTAAAAGAATGTTAAGCTTTTGATTCTGTTTTCATTTCCTTTAATTCATCTTTATCGTCTTGTTTCTTATTGATGGACTGAGGAGTTGGGAGTCCCTGACATAAAGCTCAAACTCGAAAGAACCTACTGAAAGGAAATCTGAACATGGAGCTACAGGACTGGAGCTACACTGATCGACTACATCAAGCATTTAAGGACAGGACTTAAGGACATTAAGGACTTGTTGGGACTTCTTGCCCCTGGACTTTTCTAGTGGAATAAAAACACAGGACTCAGAGCACCGAACAGGTGAGAGTCACCCAGAATATCTTTTATAAAGACTCTTGCTAAGAGACTGTTGTGCATTGATGAAGGACACGTACTGAATGCACATGGCTGTTGTGAAATGTTGGAGAAACATTTGCAGTCCTCTCCACCTTTCCTCTCTCTCCACAACAACCATGATTTCTACACATCTGACAGAGAAACTTTCTTTGTCTTTTTACTGATATTTTACTGGCACTTTAAAATGCTATATATTCAGTCATTATTATGTAGTATTTTGATTGCACAGGTCACTCTGCCTTAACAGCTTAACTTTTTCCATTCAGGAATGAATTTACAGAAAACTCACCTGAGTATCTCCAGTTTACAGTTTGAACTCTTCAATCCAGCACAGAGCAGCTCTGTTCCTGAGTCCTGCACTTCAGTTTTACTGAGTTCCAGTTCTTTCAGGGTTGAGTTTGTTGATTTCAGAGCAGAACAGAGAGCTTCACAGGAGTTTGTGGTGAGTTTACAGTGACCTAGTCTACAAGGCAAATAAATACAGTACATATTACAGTTACAACAGACAATGAGAAATTCAGGATCACAGTAATCTGGACTATAAGAAAATTAGAAAACAGTACTTCATATATTCCATTATATATGTTATTCAGAACAGCATAAAAAATTGTGAGAATTTTGGAATTCAGCCTCACAGGAATCAGGAATGATGATATTATTTGTTTTCCATTAGTGTTTTCTAATTGTTTCCTACTCTTTGTTTTGTTTGTTTTTTTCATATATCCTTCTCCTTTTCATTTCTTTCATTTCTTCTGTCTGCACTTTAACTCCCATCTGTGAACTAGACTTAATAATTAAAACTTATACATGCATCCTGCCTGCTTCAGGTGCCTTTTCTGCTACTGGCATACTGTGTTGCAGTGGCGCAAACTCTTTAAAACTGTTTCTATAATTTACTTAATTTTCTTTAACACTGTTTCTATAATTTTTTACATCTATGCATTTGTAGAATACAGGACATTTAAAGCAGTTTAATTCTGTGCATGTGAGTAAAATTCTGTGCTTGTGGGAATAAGTAAGTTATTACTGCTATTATTAATATTACATTTATTATAATATTAGTATTCTAAAAAATGAAAGTGTGTTCTTAAGTCTAAGTTCCACTTTATTTTTTTTCTGTCTGTACATCATTTCAAAAACAGACAAAAAGTGTTTCTAGAACCATTTCTACAGTTTCAGCCATCAAAATCACAACTGATTTGACCAGCATGGGACAGTTGTTTTTTCTTTACTCTTTGCAGTTCTCTTACTAGTACCTAAATAGAAATGCCCTGCAAAGATGGTGAAGCGTCTTGCCAATGTGAACTACAGAGTTGCTGTGGATAATAATTCTATATATTTATATCTTCTAATGATGTCCAGGTTGTTAACCTGTAATGTTCATACGATCACTCTTCTGTTCTGTTCAGGCAAGAGCAGGTATGAGTATCTATCTACTACCAGTGGTTAGGCTGTCTCTATGTATGGAAAAATATTTCTAGCTGCAATGTTTACTCCAGTCACTGGGAGTCATGGCACTAATCAGTTCCATAAAAGGAGTGATTCAGTGCTAGTCAGAGAGGCAAAATATAAAGAGTGTGTTGCTGCTCTCTTGTTTTAAAGACCTCAAATTGAGAATTTATATGCTCACTGTAAGTATGGATGATATTATGTTTTGTGAACGTTTAGTCTGAAGTATTTTGTTATGCTTTAATGGAGATTTTGTGTAAATGAACATTACACAGCTTTTGATTCTATTTGTAGAAGGACTTCTATCACTACTTTTTCATTTCCTTTGTTTCATTTTTACCATCTTGTGTCTTATGAATGGACTGCAGAGTTGGGAGTCCCTGACTTAAAGCTGAAACTCAAAAGATTCAATTGAAAGGAAATCGGACAGTTTATTCTAAAAGGACTTGTTGGGAGTTGTTGAAGGCGCCCCTCAACTTCTCTGGTGGAATAAAAACACTGGACTCAGAGCACCAATCCGGTGAGAGCCACGCATAATATATTTTACACAGACTCTTGCTAAGAGACTGTTCTGCACTGATGAGTCATAGTTAATGAACGCACATGGCTGTTCTGAATTGTTCAGGAAACATTTTTACATATTTTTAATGTAAATATACAATTTAACCATGCAAAATAAATTTGTGGTGTTGTAAGTGTAGAGATAAAGTTTCTAGCTAGAGTACATCCTTCAGTTATTTGCAGGGCTGTTGGCTGGGCATGTAAAGGTCTGGGGCTCAACCCAGTTCATTGTAGGTTTTTCTTACCTAAAGTTTTTTAATAATCTGTAAAATGTGCAACTTTACTTTTTATTTAACCCTTGTGTGGTATTCATGTTTTTGTTACTCAGTTGATCTGGTGGACCCCCCGTATTATTGTTTTTTTTTTAATCAATACAGCCATAACAATTTATGTAACAATACCATATGTTTAAAATAAGTGTCCAGTGTAGGGTTCTCCTTTAGCAGCTGTAGCCAGTCAGCAGCCTGTCCATGTTGTCCACCCTCACACACACACAGACACACACACATATACAAACACATACACACACAGACTCACACACACTAACAGCAGGCCATATAGGAGGAGAACAGAGTGAAGGACACAGCACCTCCACACTTTTACTCCCCACGGGTTCAGCCCAACAGCACATGTGTAATATAAATGTGTGGGGGGTGAATAGAGTGAAGACACTGAAAATGGGTTATTTTATATATTCTTCACAAAAAAACAAGCAATCTGGGATTGAAATAATAAGAAATCGCATGATGTTTTATTTGGTAAACATTGAAAATGGGTCCAACAACACAGAAGGGATAATATGAGGATCTATAAAACAGGAATTTGGAATTGACCATTGCTGTGTCTTGCAAAAACAAAAGCAGTAACAACACAGCTTGCAACAGAAAAATTCTCTCTAACAGAGATGTTTTCCCAGTAATGTCAATCTTAAAGTCCTCTTCACCTTTCCTTTCTCTAAACATCAACCATGTCTTCTACACATCTAATAGAAACCTTTTCCCTAGCACATGCTCTTTCTCTCTCACACACTCTTGTGCTCTCTTTATCTCTCTCTCTCTCTCTCTCTCTCTCTCTCTCTCTCTCTCACAATGTTATAGTCTATAGCTGCATTTGGAATAGCTCTGGAGTTTGAGGAGTGAGTGAATGAGCCCCTGAATAAAACCATGGATGATGAGAATGATGTGCAAACGAGCTGGGATGAATCTTAGTTAATGTTATAACATTCAGAGTTGGTTAAAAATATTGGAGGCTACAGTATTTTGAGTATTTTGTAGTATTTTGAGTACTCAGGTCACTCTGCCTTAACAGTTTAACCTTTTCCATTCAAGAATGAATTTACAGAAATCTCACCTGAGAATCTCCAGTTTACAGTTTGAACTCCTCAATCCAGCAGTGAGCAGCTCAATTCCTGAGTCCTGCAGGTCAGTGGTACTGAGGTCCAGTTCTTTCAGGGGTGAGTTTGTTGATTTCAGAGCAGAACATAGATTTTCATACGAGTTCATGGTGAGTTTACAGCCAGATAGTCTACAAGGCAAATAAGTACAGATAAGTACAGTACATATTACAATTAAACAGTAATGAGTATTTGTCCTGTATGTGTGTATATCTGTATGTGTTGGTAATCCTGTGCTTGTGGGAGTAAGCATGTTATTTTTGTTATTATTAATATTATATTAATTCTAATAATATTACCATAACATAATAATAAAGGACACAAATTTATACGGCCTCCATTCAGTAAACATGCCAATTTCCATCATCTCACATCTATTTTCAGTTTACGTCATGTGCACTTCCAGTTTCTATGCATATACAAATAATGTTGACTGCGGCCAAGTCTCTGAACAATAGGTGTGTAATGATATCAAAACAGTAGTGAAAAATAATAAAAAAGGATAAATAAAAAATTTAAAAGTTTAAAGCATCTCAAAATGATCACATGTCATTTGCCATATGCAATTAGGCCTTAGGGGCGAATCTTACCTGAGTATAGTGGGAGGAAAAAAGGGCTGGGTTATGTTATGCACACAACCATACTCTGCTAACTAGGCTTTATTTCTTAAACCCTCTCATTCATTCCAGGAGTTGATGTTATGCAGCTGGTGCAGCAGGCATTGAAAGTTCTGTTTGAGAACTTTATATTTATGCAAGCTAAACCAATGTACATATTATATAATTAGCAATCTGAATAATCAAGAAATGAAATATCAAAAATCTAATTCGTTTCTGATCTCAAAATGGAAAATCACACAGAAATATATGAAAATATGTGAAAATATGTGTATCATATTACACCTACCCTGAACATCACTAATATATACACTGAGTTGCCAGCTGCCTAACTTGTATGCAAACTTTGTTAGCCATCCTCTCCACAATAAATAGACGATACATGGCTACTTGATTATCTCTCTCAGCAATCAATATTCAAATATGAAAATATATTAATTAGATGCAACACTCACACAGCCTTTCTGCAGTTGCTCACAGCTGGGATCAATCTCAAATATCCACTCTCGTTTGTGTTGTAATTCTTCAGGTTCAGCTCATCCAGCACTTCCTCTGAGGTCACAAGCATGTAGGCTAGTGCTAAACACTCTCCAGCAGAGAGATTCTTTCTTGAGCCTTTATTGGATTTCAGATATTCCTGGATTTTTTTGGATAAAGACTGGTCATTCATTTCAGTGAGACAGAGGAACAGGTTGATGGATTTCTCTGAGGAAAGATTCTTTGTTGGTATTAGGCGTTTGATGTACTGAACTGTTTTGTCGATACTCTCTGAGCTGCTCACTGTTTGAGTCAGAAGGTCTTTTAAGAGTTGCTGATTGGACTCCAGTGAAATTCCCAGCAGAAAACGGAGAAACAGATCAAGGTTTCCATTCTCACTCTTTACAGCTTTTTGTACAGCACCCCTTAGCAGATCTTCCAATGAATCACTGTCAGACTGCTTTTTGTTCTTTATCTTAAAAACTTGCAGTTCCTCCATGTTCTGGCTAACATAGCAGTGAAACACATAGAGAGCAGCCAGAAACTCCTGAAAGCTCAGATGAACAAAGCAGTAGACCTTCCTCTGGTAGAGCAAAAATTCTCCTCTAAAGATCTCAGTACAAATGCCAGAGTACACTGAGGCCTCAGACACATCAATGCCGCACTCTCTCAGGTCTTCTTCATAGAACATCACATTGCCCTTCATCAGCTGTTTGAAAGCCAGTTCAGCCAGTTTCAGAAGCAACTTTCTGTTGGATCCCAAGAGATCCTTTGGATTTATCTCACAATTTTCCTTATACTTCTCATGCCTCATGATTGTCTGAGTGCACAGGAAGTGTGAATACATTGCAGTCAGGGTTTTAGGGATTTCTGTAATACCCTGTTTCATTATGTGCTGAAGCACAGTGGCTGAGATCCAACAGAAGACTGGAATGTGGCACATGATGTGGAGACTCCTTGTTTTCTTAATGTGTGAAATGACGAAGTTGGCTTGGTCTTGGTCACTGATTCTCTTCCTGAAGTATTCCTCCTTCTGTGGGTCATTGAATCCCTGAATTTCTGTCACACGGTTGATGTACTGACGAGGGATCTGATTGGCTGCTGCTGGTCGAGAGGTTATCCAGACGTGAGCAGAGGGAAGCAGCTGTCCTTTGATGAGGTTGGTCATCAGCACATCCAGTGATGATAGCTTGGTTATATCTGACAGGTTCTCACACTGTAAGAAGCTCAGTGGAATTCTGTTTTCATCCAGGCCATCAAATATGAACACCATTTTACACTCATCATATATCTCTGTGTCCAGATCTCTGAGCTCAGGATGGAAGTCACACAGAAGTCTATGAAGACTGTACTGGTGATCTTTAATCAGGTTCAGCTCTCGGAATGGAAGCACAAACATCAAATCTACATCCTGATTGGCTTTTCCTTCAGCCCAGTCCAGAATGAACTTCTGCACAGAGACTGTTTTTCCAATGCCAGCAATTCCTTTAGTCAGTACAGTTCTGAGTTTCTGCACTTGTGGACCTTTATCTTCTTCTCTTTCTTCATATCTGACATCTTCAGCCATCAAAGTTCTGATGCTATGCTCTTCCATTTCTTCCACAGTGCACTGTACAGGTTTAAAGATATCTAAGCAGTTAATCGGTGTATCCTGCCAGTGTTGGTCCCAGAGTGTTTTTTCAATCTGTAAAACTTCATGTTCTTCATTCACTCCTTCACTCTCTCCCTCTATGATGTAGAGCTGTGTGTAAATCCTGTTCAGGAGGGTTTTATTCTCTTGTGTTTTGAATCCCTCAAATAAGCTCTCATACCTGTTCTTCATGCTGGTTTTGTGTCTCTCTAAGACTCTGTGCAGGACATCACCCACTGCTTCCTGCTTCATGGACTCCTCTATGGGTTGATGTAGAACAGGACGTGTCTTAGACCTCTTCCTGCAGCGCGGACAGGCTAAGACTCCTGACTGAGCAGACTGGTTCCAATAGCTGTTGATGCACTGTCTACAGAAAGTGTGTCCACAGTTGATAGAGATTGGATTTGTCTGAATCTGCTCACACATTCCACACCTGGACTGATCCTGAAGTGATGCGTCCCTCCCACAGCTAGAGAAAAGAAAGAAAATGGAAGAGAGAGAATGAGTGAGACATAAAGAAGTGTGTAAACATAAGGTAGTAATAGAGATTTTTTACTTTCTCACACACGCTAGGCTTGTAAAGTCATGTCCAGTATATTATCACTTAATTAGGCTGCTTGAGAGCCACTTTCCAAAAAAAAGGAAACGGATGTGTGTGTACCACCAGCAAACAGTTGGAGACGTTCCCTTGCACATAGAAGGAAAGGACCACATATATTCACTGAGAGCTCCTAGTCTCAGGTTCAGATGCTCTGTATACATGTAAATGTCTGACATTTGCACATTAAGCTGTCTATGACAACTGGAATTTTGTCAGTTCCATACTGATGGCTATCTGTGCATGTACTTCTGTTCAGGAGATTTTACAAACTTACAGTTTGGTACATTCTCAGTGTGCTGTGCTTGGGACTTTTAGAGCAAAATATACAAAATTGCAGCCCTTAAATGCATTTTATCGCAATGCATATGTTCACCTGCCATATAAGACCTAGTAAACAGGATTTATCATTCTCAGCATGAAAGGGCAACAGTCATGTACAAAATGCAAAACAGAAACATTCTGCTTTCCTAGTTGTCCTGCATGCACTTTTGCAGACAGCAACTCTAATATGGAGGACCAGATTTGCCAAAATGAAAAATAAATAAAATGAAAAATAAATGACTTCATGGAAATTCATATATGATGTAGAATTGCAAAGAATAATGATGATAAATCTAAAAATAAATAAATATATATAACAATTAATATATTATTAAATAAAATCTTATATAAATTAATATGTCCGCATTTATTTATGTGTCTGTTTAGTTATTTCCCCTTCTCACTAATTTTTGTATTTTTTTTTGTTATTTATATGTTTCTTTATTAACATATTTTCTGTTCCGATTAATTTATTTTATTAATTTATTCCCATAACTATTAATTTCTATATTTATTTATTTCTCTATTTATTTCTGTATTTCCTTGTCCTTATGCTAATAAAGGGGCTGTCAGTCAATGATGTCACAGCGTCTTAATATTCCTAGGTTAATATTTGGTTGATCGATATCAGATTCTGTAGATCGATTGTACGTCTTGCTCTCTCAGCGGTAACTAAGGACAAGACAGTACAGTAACGGCTGTTTACAGGCAGCAGACAGTCAGAGATCTGAGGCTCTTGGCTGATCTGGCTGAAAATGCAGGTACGGATTGTTTACTCTACCGTGTGGAGGCTGCGGGGACAGTTTGGTCCATTTTGCTGCCTCTGCTGATGCAGAGGTCGACCAGTAGTGTTCAGAACTCTGGAGGAGGCGGTTCAGCATCTTTTTCTGTTAAAGTCAGATCAAACTCAGACATTCGGACGCCCTTCTCACATACGGCCTGTGGAGCCATCGAGAGTTATTTATCGGAAGGTTTGTCTGTCTGTGGCACTGCAGCTCTTTATGGAGTGAAAGAACAGTTTAATCAGCTCTTTTCCTTCTGGTCTTGATTGCTAAGCCTGAACGTGGAAAGCACGCCCCCTCATTATCATACGAACGAAGAAATACAGAAATAAATGAATGAATGAATGAATGAATGAATAAATAAATGAATAAATAAATAAATAAATAAATACATGAATCAAAGAATAACGCGAACAATTGTTAAAAATATGGATTTGGAAAATATACAAAAATGCCATTAATAAAACAAAATAAATAGATTCAAACTTCAGATTCAAACAGACAGCCATTTCATGGACCAAAAACACTTTTACGTCCAGGTGCGTCCATTCGTTTCCCCATGGCCCAAAGAGCTGGGACTCGGACTTGCTCTACACGTATACACTGAAAAAACATGTATACACTGATTTCCTCATAATATCTGGTCAGCCTCATGATCTCAAGGATGCGTTAAAGAAATATGTTTACTGAAATCCTACAAATTATTCCTGATCAAATATTAATCACTAATTAATGCAAAATACTGGTAGGATGCTACTGGTAACCAACATATATAGTGATTTAGTGGGAAGTAATTAGAAAAGAATGGTGTAAACAACGATGGACATTAAACACAATATACCATAAAGTCATTTGATATTGTGATGTAAAATGGCAAACAAATGAAAATTAAAATATATAATTTAAGTATGTCTCTGACTGAGTTTGCAGGAAATATGGAGATTTTTTCTTTGCTATTTAATTAAGCTACATATATATATATATATATATATATATATATATATATATATATATATATATATATATATATATTCTTTATTTTTATTTAAGGCATGTACAACCCCATTTCCAAATGTTGAACTGAGAAATTTTATTCAATTACATTAAAATATATGCCCATTTTTAATTTGATGCCAGCAACACGTTCCAAAAAATCTGGGATGGGGGCAACAAAAGGCTGGTAAAGTTGTGTAATGCCTAAAAAAAAAAACACCTGGTGGTTAATTGGCAACAGGTCAGTAACACGACTGGGTATAAAAGAGCATCTCAGAGAGGCTGAGTCTTTCAGAAGTAAAGATGAGGAGGAGTTCACCACTCTGTGAAAGACTACTAAAACAAATAGTGCAACAATTCAAGAATAACATTTATCAAAATAGCAAAGAACTTTTGCCTTTCATCATCTACAGTACATAATATCATTAAAAGATTCCGAGAATCTGGAGAAATCTCTGTATGCAAGGCACAAGGCCAAAAACCAGTATTTGCTGGCTGTGATCTTTGGGCCCTCAGATGGCACTGCATTAAAAACAGACATAATATTGTCATGGAAATCACTGCATGGGCTCAGAAATACTTCTGAAAAACACTGTCTATGAAAACAGTTAATCACTGCATCCACAAATGCTAATTAAAACTCTTGAACGCAAAGAAGAAAGCACATATAAACAGGATCCAGGAATGCCTTCGCCTTCTCTGGGCCTGAGCTCATTTAAAATGGACCAAGGGGAAGTGGAAGTGTTCCAACAAATCAACACTTGAATGTTTAAATCATGGATGCTGTGTCCTCTGGGCTAAAGACCACTCAGCTTGTTATCAGTGCAGAGTTAAAAAGCCAGTATTCATGATGGTATAGGGGGGCATTAGTGTGCATGGTATGGGCGAAGTACACATCTGTGAAGGCACCATTAATGCTGAATGATATATACATGTTTTTTTGTTTTTTCAAGACAACGTCTTTTTCAGAGAAGGCCTTGCTCGTTTCAGCAAGACGATGCCAAACCACATTCTGCTTATATTACAACAGCATTCCGTATTAAAAGAGTCCAGGCGCTAAACTGACCTGCCTGCAGTCCAGACCTGTCAACACTTATTAAATTTTATCACATTATAAAATGAAATATATGAAAAAAGAGACCCTGAACTGTTGAGCAGCTGAAATCCTGTATCAAGCAAGAATGAGAAAACATTTCACTAGTACAAGCCACAGCAATTGGTCTCAGTTCCCAAACACTTACAGAGTTTTAAAATAAGAGGTGATGAACCACAGTGGTAAACAGGCCCCCATCCCAACTTTTTGGAATGTGTTGTTGGCATCAAATTCAAAATGGGCAAATATTTTTCAAAAACAATAAAATTTCTCAGTTTCAGCATTTGATTTTTTTGTCTTTGTACTATTTTCAATTAAATACAGGGTTTGACTGATTTGCACAAGATTGAATTTTGTTTTTATTTACATCTTCCACAGCGTTCCAATTTTTAGTGCTTTAGTAAACAATATTTATTAGTTTTAATTTTAATTTTACTCCTATTTGAAGCTAGTGATGATCTCTGTGATACCACTCCATATGTCAATCAATTTATTCCTTATGGAAAGATGTCTTTGATAATCCACTAACAGGTTTAGCTTCCTCACTTTGTATGGTGTCTTCAATCATGCTATCTAGTTGCCTGGTGCTTGTCGTAAATGACCTCGTGACCAGCATTAAGCAATCCAAGAAATCTCAACATTTGCTGTTGCTAGTTTGGCCAATGCTGCACAATGCTGGGGTCCTTTCTTGAAATCCTCCCTTTCCTGATAAGGAGCAAGGGTTTCCTAACTAGTGTTGTGGGTTTTTAAACAGAAAATAAAAAGCTGAGTCGCACAACTGACGAGTGTTTCACGCTGGCAGCCTATCCACCCAAACCACATGGATCTTCAGTTGAATTTTTGACAGTTGCAAACAAAAGAATATAGCTTAACAGATGTGAGTCCACAGCATGACAATATGGTCAGGAAACACACACCACCTCCATCAACCACATTTGCAAAGGATCAAGGCCAAGGTATTAAGATAAATGTATTTGATTAATTATTGCTGCGATCATCAAATTGATGCACATAAATGAAAACAAGACACACTGACCTTGCCTAAAGTGATTAGGTAGCGTTTGGCTTCTACAATTACTACTAGCTCAATATTTTCTTTTTCTTGTGTCAGCTCACGTGAAAAAGTGGAGATGTGGTCCACATGCAAGAAAAAACAAAAACCTGCTTCCTGTGAAATATCAGTACCATGTAGTGTTAGTCTCTCACCTCAGGTCAGTACTGGTTCTTTTATTACTGAAATTAGGAGGCTGAAACATTGAGTTGTGGCTCTTTATAGACACACAGCTGGGCTCTGGAGGTTCTGCCGTGAATGTTTGCAGTCTGAAAATGTGATGTGGAGACAAGAAGAGTTAAATAGGCATATAAATATGGTTATAAAAATGCTAATTAGAGAGATGGTAATATTTTAGGTATTAGCATTCACATATGTGGAGTTACTTAATTTAAATTATATAATAATTAATTTACCTTCATAGAATAAATTGTTATCAAGGCTTAATGAAATAAAGTGGTCCCACTATGTCGTGTCAAATAACTGTGTAGTTATACATTAACATCACTGTTACAGATGGATTACAGCAGTTTATTCTGTAATGTGATATTTACACAGCTACAGCAGATGTTCTTCTATCTTTATAATATTTTTCTTCAGGTAGGTAAAGTGAAATTACAAATTAGTATTAATCCATATGACTTGATCATGTTTACAATGTTACAACACAAATATGTCACAGTGACTTTGTAAAAAAATACACTTTAAACACTGTAATATAAGGGGACAGTTCCTCTGTAATTGTTATGTAGATACTTTTAGATACTTGTAGATCTTTTAATTACTGATAAAACACTGTTAATGATATATGCTGCTGCTGCAAACATAACATCACATTACAACACATTACATTAACCTAAGCTATACTACTGTAATCTATCCGTAACAGTGAATTCATCAACAGTAGTTACACTGTTGTTACATGTACTGTTCAGGTGTAAATACTCCATTATTACTAAATATAAAGTGTGACAAAACTTACGATATTGTCAACAGAGGTAAAGATAAATGAAAGAAAAAGGTACCGTATTCACACTTCTTTCATCTTAAAGGGGACCAATCATACTGTTCAATAGTTTTGATCAATTTGCCAGCCCTCTAAATGAGAAGTAGACTTTTCTTATTATTTCCCTTGTTTTTACTGGAATATTACCTTTTTATTGGAATATTAGTTTTACTTTCTTGTTAATTTTATTTTTCCTAATATTTTTATCTTGTGCAGTTTCATTTTGACTATTATTACTGTACCTTCTTTTTGCTATTGCTTTTATTTATTGCATTTTCTTTTTTAATTTTGATGATCTTTTTTCTCTTTTTCTTCCTCTGTTGTTTTTACTTTGTATTGCAAAGCACTTTGAGCTGCATTTTATAATAATAATAATAATAATAATAATAATAATAATATCCTACTGTTTTTTTACTTAGAGATTTTAGGTCACTGGGGAACCACTGTACCACAATATCTATGTTCTCTTTGAATTTTCCCCAGTTCCCGCAGTTCATTCATCATACAAGCCAGTAAGATAAATTGCTCATTACGAACAAAAGGCAGGGTTTAAACATTTTTCCTCACACTTCGGTTCAGTTTAGCTCTACAGCCATGTTGTTACCTCCATAGAGCCACACATACTAGGTACAGGTGGTCATGCAAGTAAACATGTAAACATTGTCAATATGTCGTCCAGGCGCAAGAAAAACCAAAAAGATGCTTCCTTAGAATCTGTCTGTGCCATTAGGACAAGATCCCTGCTCTGTGCTCTCTTTAACACTTCATTCCTTCGTCTAACTCAATTATTAGAAAGCTAGTGGCCCAATTTTCTCATTGAGAATGAAGTGAGGTAGAATTTTAATTTCCTTCTTCTCACACCACTTCACACCTGTCTTACAGTCATGTAGTTGCCTCAGCAGTGCCAGACACACTAGATACATCAAATATCTCAATCTCATTTTTAGTGACAGTAGGACATGGAGATGTGGTCCAAGAGCAGGAAAGGCCAAAAGGATGCTTCCTGAGAAACACGCTGTTGAAATTCACTACCATGTTGTGTCTGCATCTCACTACTGTCTCACCTCAGATCAGTACAGGTTTTTTCCATACTGAAAATTAGGAGGCTGAAACATTGAGTTGTTGCTCTTCATAGACACACGGCTGGGCTCTGGAGGTTCTGCTCTGAATGTCTGTGGTCTAGAAATGCAATGCAGAGACATAAATGAAAGACATGACGAAGGAAATTAGAAGATTGCTTAATCAGACAACTGCTAATGTAGATCAAAAGTAAAAAACAGACTTTAGTAGAGCAGTGATCACCATTCAGTCAGGATAAAAACTGAAATTTTGAGTAGTAATGAGGAATGGAACTATGTACTCTAGAAATGCACCATATGGGCATAAAATGCAATGTCTTTTAAAGTTATTGGATATTGTGAAAACAATATGAGCTCAAGCCCTGTTTAACTGGATGAGTTTTAAGTAGGGAGGTGCTGTAACTTCAGTGACTACCTATGAGATCTGTGATTTTAATCCAGTATGAATCTGCTATGCCCATAGTTTTTATGCCCGTAGATGAGCCCAGTTTACTAGTATAATGCTATTCTATCTGGGATTTACTGGACATTCATTTTTGCTGTTTGTTTGGATTTGTTTAAGTGAACATATGACATTCTAATCCAGGCTATCTGAGATAATTTGAGAAAATATACAGATGCTTTATCCTACATGAGTCGGTCAGTCAAATCACTTACAAATAACGTCACCAGTCTTCCACTGGTAAAACTAATCCAGCTCAAATAGCCTTTAGTGTGTCTCTGACAGGGTGTGAAGCGAGTACAGATGTGCTGTGTAATTAAACAGAAAATGTACACAACATTTACTGCACCATATTTATTAGTGTTATATTTATTATTCACCCCTACCCAAGTGTCTGAAGCTGATGATGATCTCGTTCATACCACTCCATATGTCCCTAATATTACTCCTATTAATATCTACCTTTTTCTGTAGGAGTATTTTTTTCCCTTTGCTTAATTTCCTTTATTCTCATTTTCATTTTCTTTTATTATTCAAAAAATCTTTCAAGTTTCCAAGAAAACATTACATTACACACTCTATGCTCTCTTTAACTTTTCATCAGTTCTACCAGCTTGATTATCATAATAGCCAGGGACCCACACTGTAAAAAACGGTTCATCAGATCAAGCTACAAAATGACTTCATGTGGTAACAATTAAATTAACTAGTTTTATTACATACTTTGAAAGAACCACTGCTTTAGTCAAAGTATTTATTTAAATTAAATAAAACCTCAATTTCTTGTTATCATAATAAATATTTTTAGGGTTGAACTGATGAACTTTTTTCCAAACTGCACATTACTTAGTATGACTAAAGGAAGGTAAAATTTAAATCTATTTTTTCTCATATCATTTCACACCAGTCTTACAGTCATGTAGTCAGTAGAGCCAGATACACTAGGAACATCAGATGGTCATGTATTTAAAACATTGTTATTATCAGTGGCAGCAGGAAGTGGAGATGTTGTCCAAGTACACAAAAAAACAAAAATATGCTTCTGGAGAAACATGCTGTTCAAACTCACTACCATCTAGTGTTACTGTCTCACCTCAGGTCAGTACTGGATCTTTCATTACTCAAATTAGGAGGCTGAAACATCGAGTTGCTGCTCTTCATAGACACACAGCTGGGCTCTGGAGGTTCTGCTCTGTATGTCTGCAGTCTGGAAATGTGATGCAGAGATACAAAAAAGTGTGTCAAATATGTGCAGGTACACATTAACGTCACTGTTACAGATGGACTACAGCAGTACAGGATGCTTCCTGAGAAACATGCTGTTGAAATTCACTACCATAATGTGTCTGCATCTCACTACTGTCTCACCTCAGATCAGTACAGGTTTTTTCCATACTAAAATTAGGAGGCTGAAACATTGAGTTGCTGCTCTTCATAGACACACAGCTGGGCTCTGGAGGTTCTGCTCTGAATGTCTGCAATCTGGAAATGTATCAACACAGGAAACACACGATGAAGGGAAATTAGAGGACAGCTTCATCAGACAACTGCTACTGTAAATGAAAAGTAAAAAACTGATTTTTGCAGAGCAGTGCTTAACATTCAGTCTGGATAAAAATGGAAAACTCAAATAGTTAGTTACCAGGAAAGACTGAGCAATGAAATCATGTATACTCGAAATGCACCATATGGACATAAAATGCAATGTGCCATGAAGTTGTTGGATATTGTGAAAACAACAAATTATGATTTAAATGTATTTAAACACTAAAACAGAGCTTTCGGCACAGTTCCTTTATCCTCAAATTCCAAACAGGACCAATGTGACCTAAAACATCTGGTGATGGACTAAGAATTAGAATGAAAATTAAATATTTGAAGGAACTTCTCACAAAGCAGACTGATTTCTGTCCAGTTTGGTAACATTTGTTAAATTAAATGAGCCCAGTTTACTAGTATAATGGAAGTTCATTTTTGATCCAGGCTATATCAGATCATTTGGGAAAAGGTCAGCCAGTCAAATCACTCACAAATAATGTTACCGGACCTCCTCTGGTAAAACTAATCCAGCTCAAATAGCCTTTAGTGTGTCTCTGACTGGGTGTGGAGTGAGTACAGACTTGCTGTGTAATTAAACAGAAAAAGTATATTTCTAAAGCACACACACATTCTCTGAAACCGCTTATCCATCTGGGTTATTTCTAAAGCAGATAACAGCAATGAAAATATTCTGAATTCTGACTTTGTTTCAGAACACTATCTTCATTACTATTATATTTATTATACACTTCTCTTTCATACCACTCTGTATGTTTCTCATATTACTATTATTATCTTCTGCCATTTTTACTGCAGGAGTACTTGCTCTCCCTTCACTTAATTTCCTTTATTTTCAGTTTCATTTTCTTTTATTATTCAATAGATCTTTCAGGTTTCTGGGAAACCATTACATTATGCACTCTATGCTCTCTTTAACTCTTCATCAGTTCTACCAGCTTGATAATCATCATAGCCAGGGCCCAGACTGTAATAAATGCTTCATCAGGTCAAGCTACAAAATGACTTCATGTGGTAACAACTAAATTAATTACAACCCCATTTCTAAAAAAATTGGGACGCCGTGTAGAATGTAAATAAAAATAGGATGCAATGATGTGAAAATCATGTAAACCATATTTTTAAAGGAGGATACTACAAAGACAACAAATAAAATGTTGAATCTGAGAAATCGTATTGTTTTTTGAAAAAAATATATGCACATTTTGAATTTGATGCCAACAACACGTTCCAAAAAAGTTGGGACGGGGTCCTGTTTACCACTGTGCTTCATCACCTCTTCTTTTAACAACACTCTGTAAGCGTTTGGGAACTGAGCAGACCAATTGGTGTAGTTTCGAAAGTGAAATGCTTTCTCATTCTTGTTTGATACAGGATTTCAGCTGCTCAACAGTTCAGGGTCTCCTTTGTCGCATTTTATAATGTGCCAGATGTTATCAGTGGTGACAGGTCTGGACTGCAGGCAGGTCAGTTCAGCACCCTATCTTTTTTACTATGGAGCAGTGCTTTTGTAATACATGCAGAATATGGTTTTACATTGTATTGCTGAAATAATCAAGGCCTTCCCTGAAAAAGACGTCGTCTGGATGCCAGTATATGTTGCCAAAACATGTATATATCATTCAGCATTAACAGGGCCTTCACAGATATGCCAGTCACCAATGCCATGTGTACTAATGCACCCCTATACCACCATGAATACTGGCTTCTGAACTGTGTGCTGATAACAAGCTGAGTGGTCTTCAGCCCAGAGGACACAGTGTCCATGGTTTCCAAAAAGAATTTCAAATGTTGATTTTGTAGGATCACAGGACACTTTTCCACTTTCCTTCAGTCCATTTTAAATGAGCTCTGGCCCAGAGAAGCTGGCAGCATTCCTGGATCCTGTTTATATGTGGTTTCTTCTTGCAGTTCAGAATTTACACTTGCATTTGTGAATGTAGTGATGAACTGTGTTTACAGAAGGTGGTTTTCAGGTGTGTTTCTGAGCCCATGCAGTGATTTCCACTACAGAATCAAGTCTGTTTTTAACGCAGTGCTGCCTGAGAGCCCAAAGATCACAGCCAGCCAATGCTGGTTTTTAGCCTTTTCCTTTGCATACAGAGATTTCTCCAGATTCTCTGAGTTGTTTAATGATTTTATGTACAATAGATGATGAAAAACAAAAGTTCTTTGCTATTTTACACTGAGAAACATTATTATTGAATTGTTGCAGTATTTGATCGTGCAGTCTTTCACAGAGTGGTGAACCCCTCCTGATCTTTACTTCTGAAAGACCCAGCCTCTGTGGGATGCTCATTTTATACCCAATCATGTTACTGACCTGTTGCCAATTAACCACCAGGTGTTTTTTTAGCATTGCACAACTTTACCAGCCTTTTGTTGCCCCTGTCCCAACTTTTTTGGAACATGTTGTTGGCATAAAATGCAAAATATGCACATATTTTTCAAAAAACAATCAAATTTCTCAAATTCCACATTTGTTGTCTTTGTACTATTTTGAATGACACATAGGGTTTAAATTATTTGCACATCATTGCATATTGTTTTTATTTATCTTTTGCACAGCATCCCAACTTTTGGAAATGGGGTTGTACTTTTATTACACTTATACAAATACTTTGAAAGAACCACTGCTTTAGTCAAAGTAATTATTTAAACTGAATAAAACCTCAATTTCTTGTTATCATAATAAATATTTTTAGGGTTGAACTGATGAACTTTTTTCCAAACTGCACATTACTTAGTATGACTAAAGGAAGGTAAAATTTAAATCTATTTTTTCTCATATCATTTCACACCAGTCTTACAGTCATGTAGTCAGTAGAGCCAGATACACTAGGAACATCAGATGGTCATGTATTTAAAACATTGTTATTATCAGTGGCAGCAGGAAGTGGAGATGTTGTCCAAGTACACAAAAAAACAAAAATATGCTTCTGGAGAAACATGCTGTTCAAACTCACTACCATCTAGTGTTACTGTCTCACCTCAGGTCAGTACTGGATCTTTCATTACTCAAATTAGGAGGCTGAAACATCGAGTTGCTGCTCTTCATAGACACACAGCTGGGCTCTGGAGGTTCTGCTCTGTATGTCTGCAGTCTGGAAATGTGATGCAGAGATACAAAAAAGTGTGTCAAATATGTGCAGGTACACATTAACGTCACTGTTACAGATGGACTACAGCAGTACAGGATGCTTCCTGAGAAACATGCTGTTGAAATTCACTACCATGTTGTGTCTGCATCTCACTACTGTCTCACCTCAGATCAGTACAGGTTTTTTCCATACTAAAATTAGGAGGCTGAAACATTGAGTTGCTGCTCTTCATAGACACACAGCTGGGCTCTGGAGGTTCTGCTCTGAATGTCTGCAATCTGGAAATGTATCAACACAGGAAACACATGATGAAGGGAAATTAGAGGACAGCTTCATCAGACAACTGCTACTGTAAATGAAAAGTAAAAAACTGATTTTTGCAGAGCAGTGCTTAACATTTAGTCTGGATAAAAATGGAAAACTCAAATAGTTAGTTACCAGGAAAGACTGAGCAATGAAATCATGTATACTCGAAATGCACCATATGGACATAAAATGCAATGTGCCATGAAGTTGTTGGATATTGTGAAAACAACAAATTATGATTTAAATGTATAATGTTTTAAGCCCTATTTGCACTGGATTAGTTTTAAGTGGTGTCATTGGAGTGACCACCTATGACATCTGTGATTTTAATCCAGTATGAATCTGCCAGGCCTGTAGTTTTACAAGTCTGCTAAGTAATAACTCTGGAGTGAATTTCTCTCTATCATTTGTCAAACTCAGAGCTGCTTCAGTAATAAAAATCCTGTTCTAATCGACCTCTTGGTAATGAAATAACAAATCTTGGTAATAGACTTGGGTATCTTTGTTTTTGGCAATGGGGAGACAAGGCTAACCGCTAAAGTAGAGCTTTTGGCGTAGTTCCTTTATCCTCAAATTCCAAACAGGACCACTGTGACCTAAAACATCTGGTGATGAACTAAGAATGAGAAGGAAAATTAAATATTTGAAGGAACCTCTCACAAAGCAGAGTTTTAATTTGTTAAATTAGACGAGCCCAGTTTACTAATATAATGCTATTCTATCTGGGATTAACTGGAAGTTCATTTTTGTTGGTTGTTTGGATCTGTTCAAGTGAACATCTGGAATATGACGTTTTGATCCAGACTATATGAGATAATTTGGGAAAAGGTCAGCCAGTCAAATCACTTACAAATAATGCTACCGGACCTCCTCTGGTTTGCTGTGTAATTAAACAGAAGAAGTATATTTCTAAAGTTATTAACAGTGACAAAAGCTCTGAGCTCTGACTCTGATGGACAACATGAAGCTGGCGATGAACCTTTTTTTATACCACTCTGTATGTTCCTCGTACTCCTCTTATCTTCTGCCTTTTTTGTGTAGGAGTATATGATATGGATAAAGCTATGGTATTTATGGAAATTGGCCTTCAGACATTTGAAAATTATCAGTTAGTAATCACTAGCAAAAATAAGTCTAGCATCTAGTCTAATAAGTCTAATAAGTCTAATATTGTGGGGCTAATAAGGGTCTCTTAATCTAATCTTAAAACAGCAGGCCTGCAAGGAACACATAGAACAACACC